AATGTCGCAAGTTTGTGCAGTTTCCGTTCTGAATTTTCTGCTATAATCAATTTGTGCCTTTTCTTTCCAGTGGAAGACGTTCGTTTTGCGCCATATTATTATCAGACCTCGTCTCGCGGATATATAAATCACATAACGTCATTCTAATTGTTCATTTGGGTAATTAAATTTCATGAATCGAGATTCGTTTTCAATCTGGTAACGCCCCCACCTTACAGGCCATAAACCAGCCGTTGGTGATAATTGCGGTTAGCGAGTCGCGTGTCGCTTTCACCAGTAGACTCTAATGCAATTATGAATTTTTGTAATCCCATTATGTTATATCGATAGCCTTATAAGCAAGCGATTTCCGATGCGCTAATATGGGATAATAGGTTTTTGACGTTTTTAGCATAAAATTGCCAAAAAGTGCAGATTTGGTGAATTACATTCAGAGTAAAGTCAGTAATATAGCAGAGGATTTTGAATTGTGCTTTGCTCAAAGCAACAGAGAAAAACTCTTTTTAACTATTATAGAAATACGTATAATATAGTATGTACTAGTATTAATTTATGTGAATATATATATGAATTACTAGATCTATCAATACACCATGGTTGGGCGAAATTTTTATATTGTTAAAAAAGCGATCTTACGCTGGCCGGCTTAATATTTCCGACATTTTTCTAAATTCAGGCTCATTTGCGATAGTATGTTCACATCACATCGTATGGTTTTGTGTATTATAAAAACCACGTGGGAAAAAAGTTTTTATCTTAAATAGCAACTGTTTTAAATTTCAAATCAAATAGTAATTATACCATACTGCACCGACAGGCATATGACAATCATCGATTGAAAACCGTTGATTTATCCTTCCAAGTGATTTGTCATATTTTAGGGATCATTGCTCAGTCGCTCATGTTTATTAGACTTGGGCATGTCCCAGTGTTTCTCGCCTATGTCTCCCAAAGGACCATTCTGGCGACGGGAAAGCCTAATTGCAATTATCGATTTCAGTGCTTAAATTTGATATTACATCTTACCACTAATATTAAATTTTTTTGTTCGCTATTATTAAAACTAAATTGTTATTGCCGAATCGGTTACAGTAAGAGAAAATCCCACACGGTAGAGAAGTAGTAACAAGACGAGATAGCAGTTCAGTTTCAATATAAAGTATAAAATGCCCGAATAAATTGAATAGCAAACTGATTATCGAATCTTCGATATTATTTATATTACGTCTCAGAAAACGTTATCCGCCGATTGTTGGCAAGACAGATAGATATACAAAACCGCAGAACTTGTCAGTTAGCAACAACACGCTAAATCGGAATACTCAGAACATAATCTAAAATATGAATACGTGTTTCAAAAGCTAAAATGTAAATCTTGAATGCAAGAAAAAGTCATACAACAAGCCGTCGACTAGAAGAAGGAATAGTGTATAAAATTACAAGAACATAGTGATAGATAGGTATGCCAAATTTATTGTCACGATGGAGATTCCAGAAAATATGGTTTGAAGGTATGGAAACATCTAAACATCTAATATGGTACGGAATTGAAACATCTAATCAGGGGATGAAAGTCCTTAAAAAACTTATTAAAAACATCACAAAATAAGAATTAAATCGGCAAACTAGCTGCAATCCTAAAAAATTTTCTACTGTTGCGGTTTATTGTATGAGATTAGGCAGGCATGTTGACGAAAAAATAAATACCCCAAGCTTAGAAAAATAATCATTTTCTAATCTGAAGACTGAATTTATCGTAGTCTGTCAGAGTGTCAGATAAAATCTTAACGTAGGCAGAAATTCAAGTTTATCAATATTTTAGTAGACATTATTATCCACAGTTTAGTCTAAGTCGAAGCTATATTTGGTGTTATCAGAAAATCTTTGTCTGATAGTTAAGAAAAATTGGAACCTCGTTATTGTTTCTTGACTTGGGGAAAGCTATAATCTCTGTGATATGGTTTATTAATATTCGAGTGTCGTTTTTGTAATCAAATCTGGTGATTGTGTTTTATGAGATATTACTTCAGGCGGGGTATTTGAGTAAACAGCCTTGCATTTTTCAATATTTGTAGCTAAACCACATTCTTGTACTTTTCCGTGCAGTTTATTTTTATCTAATAATTCTTTTGCACATGAAGTTCTAAATCCATGTGTATCAAAATGCAATAGCGGGAAGAAATTGTATTGTGAAAAAATAAAGTTTTCCTATCGAAGATCTGCTTATTCGAAAAGTCGAAGAATTTGAAGTCTCATAATGGCTCAATGGATTAACTTATTCTATTTGTTATTTTTAATAAACAACTTTGTATCAACTTTGGCTGCAAAATCATGTAAGTATTATTATGTATTAGACAAAACGCGTTTATCAAACTTGGGCCAATCATAAATCTGAACCGAAATTTGTTGAAACGCAAACTCATGCTTAGTAGATACGTATATGAAATTTACTATTTTATTTTGATAGAATTAAACCCGTAACATTTCAAGGGGCTTTCGAGTGCTCGCTGATATTGCACTGCGATATTGAAATAGTTTTCTTATAAGTGGATACCGAGTGTTTTATATATTTATTTTATATAATCTACCCATATTATTGTATGGTATTTTGTATTGTCAGTATGAGTATGTGTATAATATAAAATGAAAATCAAATTCTTGGATTAAATAAAGTAAATACCTCAATATCAAACCGATACACAGACGATGAATCGCACCGTGACAAAGGTGCATCGTGAGCATCTAAATGGCGATCTAGAAATATGTTACTATTATTTTTTATTGCGTTGTTGAAACAGATAGGAGCCCTCGCTGTATTAAGTAATCAAAGCCCATAACCGCCATGAAACGGGAAAATTATTGGAAATTTAAATTTAAAATTCCCCAAAATTGAAATAAATTATACATTTTCATATTCTAAATATCGTATTTAATTTCAAAATTTCGTTCAATTCGCATTAAGCTATCATGTAAAGCATTTGCGATTCTTTATCTCTGGTTAAAGATTGACGGCCACTTAAGTATCCTAATTACGATTTCCTCTCATTTGTTTATTTTTACTGATCGAATCATCCTACGTGCCTTCGTGTATTCTCGTAAAATTCAATACCATTGAGCAAACCACATGTATAAATATTTTATACCCACTAGAACAAACCAACGTAAATAGTCCAATTAGTGTTCTATTTTTTATGCTTGATAGATAGATAAAAAATCATAAGAGAATCGGCCAGACCTTGACCGAATGCAAATCAGACGACCTAACGTTATACTATATTGCGGATATTTCAGTGAAGTATTTTTTGTATATTGTCAACCGGAATTGGAAATAGATTGCAGAATTTTTCTCTATCCGGTATCGCGCCTTCTTCCTAAAATCATCAATTTTATATTTGATACAGAATGTTTTTTTTTTGTTGTTGTTGTATTTATTTCAACAGTCCATAAGGTTAGTTTCAACAATATTCCCAGATTCTGGTTTCTTCATAAAATGCGTATATATAACGTCCTGTTGAATGGGCTTGATCTAGAAATTTAACAGGAACTTTTAAAGTGTGAGGATGGGGAATATGAGTCAACGTTTGCATCACGGTCTTGCTGTGTCTATTTTCTTCTCTTCTCTTTGATTTCACTTAGTTATAACGGATCGTGATGACTCTATTTACAGATTTGAGATTTGTCATAATTTTTATCCCATCTATAAATGTTTAAAGACGATAATCATTTCAAACTGTTAGTTATCGCCCAACCCGCATATTTGTATTCGGCTTATCCCAGCGTGCAAACTTTTATGAGTCATTAAATGCGCTGATTGCATAGTGTTCCCAAAGATTTTTTAAATGATGTAATTACTTTAAGTAAAATCGTTGTAGAGAACACTTTTGGCACGTAAACCATTTACTCCACTTGCGTGGGTTACGAAAATGTTAAAATCCACGCCCGTACTTGAGTGCGTAGAACTCTCTCATTGAGGGCGTATCAACCGAACCGCAACTTTCAATTTTGTCGTAATTATTTTTTACTCGTGTTATAAGAGAATGCAGACCTAGAGGCGTCGATCAAAAATGTATTCTATCATAAGTTACTATAGAAAATATCCGAACTGATCTTGCCAAAAGACTATCCAAGAAACGGGACACTATTTATCACCTGTCCGAGAAATTTGAACCGATTTGATTGAATCGTGAAATTTCCCATTGGCAACGATACCAACCCTGTTTTCGTGTCTCAAAATTATCCAATGTCATCTATAGACCATGCATAAAACTTTTTTTACCATGATCCATACTTGGAACGTTATGAGTTCTACAATTTTTGATTCACAAAAGCTTGAAAAGCGAATTCTTTCTCACTTAATTTTAGAGTTCGCATCGGCAAAAATTTTCGAAGGTCTCCCATGCTGCTATTAAAATTTAGTTTTCTTGCATATTTGCAAACGAACTTGCTTGACTCAACTAGTGTCGTGACGTTTAGTGGAGACAGGTGGTTTCTGGGTAATAGATTAAGAACAATTAGCGCATGCGACCGTATCGCTTTTTAAGGGCGTGCTATTGTGTCGTTCGCCATTAGACCTACTATTCCATTGCCCGCCATTGTTTAACGACACCGTTTTCCACACTGATACATAAATAATGAGCGAATTGCGTTTATTGTACTACTAAATTAGAGAATAGATGAATCGGTCTATCCAGCAAATCAATGCAACATTGGGTTTTCATTCAGATATTTGTGTTCTTTCGATTTTAATATGGGAATATGAATATTACAGAAATGTCCTAGTATGTTACAGTGGTTCTCAACATTTTTGTACAGTTTGAGTTGTTTTTAATGTGTACATAAATAACATAGCAAGCCAAGCCAAGACGCGGGGTGAATAAACTTACTTCAATATGCCGGATCAGTAATTTTTCTTTTTTTTTTCTTTTTATTGCACAGATCCGTATACCAGAGCCGCATTGAAAATTTTTTCACATTCCAATAAATATCATTTTATATTACAGCACCTCCTGTTCTCACGTCTGCCCCACCCAATACAGTCACCTCAAGAGAAGGAGAAGTATTGCTGCTAAGATGTCGTGCAACAGGTCGTCCGACTCCAGTCATAACATGGCACAAAGATGGATGGCCTATCAAAAACGGACAGGTATGTTGATTACACGCCAGGCCAAATATAAGATTTAAATTTTCAATAATTATTTATTTATTTTAATTATTATATATCAATATCGACTATTGGATTTTCATTAATCCGAATTAAGCTTAGCTCGGAATTTAAAGCTTGTTGGGACTTGCGAAAGTTCAATAGCTCGTTTACTATTTTCTGGAATATCGATAAATTTGTATTGAAACAAGACATCGTTGAGTAAATGAATTTTAATAAACGAAAAATCAATAATATTGCTTAATAAAATACTAACCAGAAACGATTTTATTTCGCTTGACTCATGGACAGAAATAACATAATTTTCATGGTTGAATCCTGCTGTATTCGTATGCAAACTGGTATTCATGTTACTGAATTAGCGCAACCCCGAACTTCCTCTTGGCCAAGTTTCTTTATCAAATATTGTGCACACAAATTTAAAAACTATGTTGCGGAGTAGTTCGGTCGGATGAGCTGTGTATAACACGTTAAACTATTTTAAAATACCTATAGGGAAACGTCTTCTTATGGTAACCATTATCAATATTATTACTGAAAAGGTGACACTACCAACATTGTCTGTACTTTCATATTTGCCCACCTTCTCAGTGAAATGCCATGGATTCTTGTTTCTAGCTAAACCATTATAATTTCTTAGGATGGAATTCGACTCGGAGATGGCGAATTGGCAGTAACATTAGAAAAATTCCACAAAGGAAAATATACATGTCGAGCACAAAATGTCGAAGGACAAGTCGAACACACTACGTCGGTTTATATTCAAGGTTTGTTCTAAGCAAAATCTTTTTTAAAGTTAACCCTTTCCGTGCGGTGGGCACGTATACGTACCCACGACAAAACTCGCTAGATTGCGGCGGGTACGTTGATGTACTCCACTGTTTTATTTAGCAATCGGTCGCAAACTGTTGGTCTAGTTTTTCCGGGTTTTAGTTTATTGATAAAAAGTCTTCTTCGAGATTAACATAAGCGACGATAAATCTCGCTTTCGTTTACCATGGGAGTTTTATTTGCGGAGGAACGATGGAGTGTTTTTGAAATTTATGCAAATTTCGGTGTTTTTTGGGTAGTGATAGAAGACAAATTATCCCTTCCATCTACCAAAGTATTTTGAGTTAGATAACGAAATTGCTACAGCAATATTATGCATTGTTTGCCAACCAAGAAGCGGTAACAGTAAAGGATTTAGCAAATATTTCTATTTTTTATCACGGTTTGAAGTTTCAACACCCAAGAAAAAAAAATGCCTTTTTTCTATCCGGTTTGTGACTCAGACCACCCCTTTTAAAAAAAAAATTTTTTTTAATCGCCAATTGCAAGCTCTTTAAATAAGCTTTCCAACAAGCCGTCAGTGGGCAGCAGAGGATCATTACTTTTTCGTTAGTCGATCGATTAGTTGTGGGGGTACAAATGCATAAAGTCGGCGTAGCAAATACGATTATTTAATAAAAAATAAAAATCGCATGGAAAGGGTTAAATAACAAGCGAACAGAACGTCATAATCAGATAATTACGAACAGAGATACATATATGATTCCAATCACTATTTAAATGGCTCCCACCAAGAGGACCATTGCGCTGCGATTTTGGCGGTGGTTTGATTCTTGGGGTAGCAATCAAGATTTATAATAGCACATCTTTATTATATGCAATTTAAAATCTGATATTGCATAGAATCACGAAATAATTAACTAACAATCAAATATGTAAATTTATGTCAATATTTTAATCAGGTGCTCCAGTAATAACAGAACCGCCCAAAAATACAACAGTTAAAGAAGTTCAAGACGCCATGTTCAAATGCAGAGCGGACGGATATCCTACAAATATAGAATATAGGTAGAGTGTTTCTATTCAATTATATCATCAATTTTGCTATAATTAAATTTGAAAATATTCACACTAATTTACCGATAGCAATCTTATTATCCACCATCGTGCCATCATCGTTTCAAGTTTTAAAGCTGTTTTACACTTATTCACATGTTTCGATACCACATCATGATGATTTAAAATTTACGAAAAATGTCAAAATTTTAAAGTAATGTTATATAAAAATGCTCATTCGTAAAAGTCATTGGGAAAAGAATTTTAATTTTCTGTCAAATGGTGGCATAAATATCAAATAAAGAAAAACATATGTCAAAATTAACTTGAAAATGAAGTAAACCTATATCTTGAGCAATATTTCAGTACAATTCGTTCAATATGTTTCCGCTTTAAAAAACACCTCCTGAGCTGAAATTACTTGCAGTACTATAAAAAAAAATCAATATTTAACATTACAGCTGGTTCTACAATGACGTACCTGTGACATCATCGAAGATTCGAGAACGTGTTAACGCTCTTGATGATGGAACACTGATCATATACAGCCCGGTCGCTGATGATAAGGGTACAGTGACTTGCCGAGCAAGCAATGGATTCGGGAAGGCACCAACAGCATCGGCGACACTAACAGTGCAATGTAATTCATTATTATTTCAATGGTTGTACATGTGTAGTCCCCGGGGATGTCCAAAACGAATCGAATATTCGAATACATTCGAATTTCATTATATTCGATATGAATAATTTTTGAATTTAGGCACAGTTTCGAAGATTTGTATTTGAGATATGAGCTGCCAGACAATGAGACAAAATGTATGATATCTCAACTGATAACAAACAACACAGAGAAAACAATGATTTTTATATTTATGTCGTTTTAAATATGATCAACATGAAAATATAGTGATTTATGTAATTTTCCACACGAATCTGCCACCAATTTAGAATATATCCGATAGTCCATATTCAAAATTTTTGTGTGTATTTTTTAAATCAATTCGTACATTTCTGTCAAATTTAATCAAATAATCGAAAATAAATAACTGAAAATTAAAGGTCCAGACTCAGAATCAGAATTGTTGTATATCTTTAAATATCACAGATTAGTTAAAATCAAATTACACTTATATTTCAATTTTTTTTGTAGTTCCTGCTCGTGTCCATAAGATGCCTTCTATTCTATATGCTGGATTAGGACTCAAAACCGAACTACCGTGTCCAGCGGTAGCCGTGCCACCTGTATCTACTGTAACATGGCGAAAGAACGATCAAGTTATTAATATTGAACAGGTAAGGAATTATTGTTATTATTTAGGCCGGTGTTGAATAAGTGATTTTTCATTTATAATATCATTACAAACGCTACAGAAGCAAAGCCCAACAGTACTTTAACTACTGTAAAATAGCGTGGGTTTCGTGAGATAGCGGTACGTAAGCATCTACAACATTAGAGAAATGTTATTACTGTGGTCTTTTAATTCTAATTTTCATTTCAAAAGTTTATACTAATAACAGGGATGCCAAAATTGAGGCGAATATTCGAATAGATTCGAAATTAAATATCTTCGATATTCTATTAAAGTCTTGATTTTGTGAATAATTTAGAATATTTATCTTCAGAATTTTATTGTTTTAAATACTTTAGATTACACAATATACCTGTACTTTCCTGTATTTCAAAATTCCAAATCATTGAATATAAACCAACTTCTATGTGATTTTTATTGCACATGGCCAGATTTATTATATGCATAACAATCCACATACTGTAATAGTGGATTTTTCATTTTGAACCGCCATCTCTGAACACTTGATAACCAATGCTTTGTTACGTGATTTCTTGATAAAAAGACGCGTCCACAGCTCACCACTTTACCAAACAATTCCACTATTAATTTCAACAATCATCCTATCTTCAGAACAAGCGTTACAGCCTCGGTGAAAATGGGAGTCTAGTATTAGAAGACATTCAACAACGAGATGCCGCACGTTACACATGTACTCCTTACAATATTCTGGGTACGATGGGTGAGAGTATCGGAACACGACTGATTGTACGTTACCCACCTTACTTCACAAAAAACCCGAAATCGACACACGAGGCAGAAATTGGAAAACCTCTCGTGATACAATGTCAGGGGTCAGGGGACCCACCCCCTCACGTATCATGGATAAAAGTAAATCATCTTTTGTTTGATATGTTTGAGATTTATATTTCTGAATTTTTTGAAATTGGTTACGATTGAAAAATCCTCCGAATGCACTAACATTGTGATTTTACTGTACCGGCTCGTTGAATACGACGTAATTATTTTTAAAAGTTGTAATTTCAATAATTTTTTTTTACAATTTTGTTCCTTTCCCTGTACAAGCAGCACGTGGAACTGAAATATTTTAGATCATTTTTCTGGTTTGATACAATTCGAAGTAATCTGCACAATGTCTTATCTTATTCCTTGACTGGGGTGGTATTGGTAGAGTATGATTATCAATTTCGTATCGAATTGGTTGTAATAGGGACAAATATTTGATCGCATCTGAACGGTCTCCTAGGTATAGGCATAATGAACTGCCATGTAGAAAGCGGACTTGCATCAAGAGCAGTTGTGAAAATTAGGTTTTTTCAAACAAGTGCAATTCTATACGTAATTACACGGCAATTTTATTCATATTAACCTCGTTTTTTTAGTTGGATGACAATGGCGAAGAAGAAGAGATCCAGGACGCGGAGAACAGAGTATCATTCGAAAATGGGAATTTAACAATCGACTCCGTGGCAAAAAGCGATCACGGTTCTTGGCAGTGCGTGTTATCCAACGCTGTTGCGTCAGTCAAAACTGACGTAATGGTTTACGTAAAATGTAAGTAAAGTATGCGTATGCATAGGACGCTAGCTTAATTTAAAATTCTAGGTCTCACACGGAGACTAATAGTAAGTTACTAATTTGAAATTTCAAATTTTTCCATCATCTTTTAGTTACTAGCCACTTCATTTGAACAGTTTTTAGCTTGGAATTTTTTTCGTCAGATACGACTCCGCATGCCGTTTCGAATATATCCGTTGTTACATCGAAGCAAAGCGCTCAAATATCGTGGACACCGGGTTACGATGGAGGGTATTCACAACATTTTATGATTTGGTACAAACGTGCAGATATGGGCGACCACTCATGGCAAACTCAGTCGGTGGAAAGCTTCCGCAAGGTAGCGACAGTGAGCAATTTGGAACCAGACACTATTTACCAATTTGCTCTTTTACCTGAAAATGTACTGGGAAGCGGCCAGTTCTCGAAGACTATTACCGCGAAAACCAAAGGTAGGTATATTTGTAGTAATGTTGGCATTGGACAAGATTAATGATTTGACATTAACTGTTTTAAAACGTTTTTATTTATTGATTTTTCAGAAATTCCGCCGCCTACCCCTACAAAAGAACCAGAATCTGTACCACCGCCTAGTCGAATGGAATCTCATATAAAAAAGGAAAGCGGACTTTTGCTACTTATGTGGCAACCACCAATCGACACAACCGAAAAAGATCTTCTGGGTTACGTCATCGAGTTTAGAATGTTGCTCGCTTTTGACGAGGAAGACGTACAGGAAAAAACTCTAGAAAACATTGAAAAAGAAGATAATTCTCAAAATTTGCCTCTGGAAGAGAGTGATAAACCTAATATTGAAGAAACTGAGACCGACGGGCGCTCAAAAAGATCACTTTGGAACGGTATAGTGTATGCTCGCGCAAAAAGGGAAGCACCGGTGGTACCGCCAACTGTATCCCCGCCCATCACAGGAATTTCAAAACCTCAGGAAAGGTGGTCTGCTTGGGCTACGTTATCACCAGTAGGAGCAAACGAAACTGCTTTTCTTGTACCCGCAGATAAACTTTTCAGGGATCAGTTGTACGAATTTCAAGTTATGGCTCTGTCACAATCAGCCTATAGTGTCCCCAGTGTTCCTATCACCGTTTCAACAAAAGGTAACTAATTTATTTTGACACTATATACGATGGATTCAAATAAAAAAAGAGCAATGCTCAAATATATGGACACGAAGGCGAAAACGAAGTAGTATCAAATCTTTTGCAGTACCGGTAATCTGCCCACCAGATCACTGACCTGTGATCACGGAACCACGGCACGATTTTTTTTGGATGACGTCATCACACAAAACCAAAAGTAAAAAAAACAATCGTGCATAATTTTGTGATTGACATTAATTTAATCTCTATCTACTAATCGCGAGAAGTCAGTGCACCATTTCGAATCGAAAGTTTTTTTACCGATATATATATTCACATTGTAGGGCATTGATGAGCTTTCAAGACCCGGTACAGTTATTTAATGCTTGTCTAACAAGTTATACAGCCGAACAAATTCAGAAAGATATAAAAAAAAAATCAATACAAAAAGTCTCCCACAATTCGGTTTGTTAATTTTTAAATGCAATATTTTTTTATTTAGATCTTGACGTTTATCCCATACTGCTTGAACCTGTACCGTATGCATCTGCTGCTACGAATCCGGCCATAATTGCAGGAGTAGCTGCCGCCGTTCTTTTCGTCGTCATAGTAACTGTGCTTACGTCAATATGGTGTCGTCATCATAAACGAAGGAAGAGTGGTAAGTACCAATGCAGTAACTGTTTATATTTGTTCCATAATCAATGTTGGCTTTCCATGCCTCTTCACTCCGAAATGCAATTTATACAGTCTTTTTCTATATTCTGTATAGATGGGCGGTTGGACACACCCCGCAAAGGGGGCGTAAAAAATTGAGGGGGACGTGAAGCCTTTTAAAAATTTAAATATTTGTTAGATTTGATACTGCCCACCTTATTTTGAATAGCTACATTTCTTTATTGTTTAGAGATTGCGATTGCATCCACGTATTTTCGGCGTGCTTTTTGAATAAAATATACTTCCGCCTTACTAACTGCTATTTGTAGCTTATCGTTAGCTAGGTATTATTGAGGTGGGCGTGAGACTTGGCAAATTCTAAAAAGGGGGCGCAGCTTGAAAAGTTAGAGAACCGCTACTATAAAGTGTATTATCAGTATGGTGAAAAAATAAACTATAATGATTACTACTGATTTCCTATAATTAATTTTGATTTTGCAAGTTGCGTCCGCAATGCTGCTATCTTCATGCTTTATTTCGTGCATTCAATTTACGATTTTTTTTTTTTAGCGTTGGACTCTGCGACGTTTACGTTTGGCAATCTGCCTGATAATGGGTAAGTTGATTTCTATTTTACGCGGTTTCACTTCGAGCAAGGCTCCCTACAAGCAGTCATGTACTTTGTTATGGTTTGCAACTTGACCCTTGGTTAGAAAATAGCGCGTTAAAACTTAAAAATATTAAGGTAATTCAATCGGATTTCACAGGCATCGTAGTACGGTGTATTTAAAGATACTAATTTATGATGATAATTTGTGCCAAAATGATTTGAGTTATACTGTTAGGTAAAACGGATTTCTTGGTTTATTCACATCGGGTTTGGGATATATAAAACGCTCTATCAAGGCAAAAATATGCGACCTCCTGTATGCGCACCAAGATAGCGCACAACCTGAACTCAGGTTGTGTACCAGGTTAGGGAGGTTCAGGTTATGCGACTTCAGCAGTACAAAAATATGAATCGATCAAATGAGCCGGGATTTACGATAAATATGACGGTTCGCGCGACGGTTTTCCCGCAAATGACGTAATGCCAGCAATCGGAATTAGGGCTGGGAATTTCGAATGAAATATTGGAATCTAATCGAATAGTAAATTATTCGACGAAGGTCGAGGCGAATTCTCCAGTTTTCATTCTTATTGAAGCAAATTTTTTAAAATGCAATCCAGACATAAATACTCTTTTTTTATATTGAGTTATTGATGAAACATGTTTTGTATTGAGTGTGACAACTCAGCGAACTGACTTTTAGCTTGGGGGAATCCATTACAATAAAAAAAGTCACATACAATTATGTCTTTGTCTTACTTCAGATATCTTCCAATTATTCGAAATTCGATTCAATTCGGAAAAAAAATATTGGATTCGATTCTGAAATCATAAGGTAATCAAAAATTCCCAAATTCCCAGAAAAAAAGGAATATATCGCCGGATGAGAACAGAACAGGCCTAAGTCACGATTTTGAGTTTTGAGAAAAACGCAAAAAACAATTTGGAATTTTTTTATTTTCGAATTTCTAGATATTCACACTTAGTAAAGTCCTGAGCTCTGGTTATTTTAATGTGGATGAGAATATCTGTGTAATCAATATTTTTTGGCACTTTAGCTTCAATTCCTTCCTGCTTTTTTACCCCCATAAGAAACTTTGGCCCATTCTGTTCTCAACAACTTCTGAAATTTTTTGTATGGGATGCAAGGTAAAACAAGGTGACTTAGGCCTAAGTTGCACTGAACAAATTTTTAGGGATGTAAGTTTTGGACATTTCATTTCTGATGTCCATGCCCATCATATTGGAACTTAGGACTATCTTTTTTCAATATTTTGGGGTTTTGAGCCATGCTCTACAAGGTGGTGGTCTTGAAATCCTGAATTTCTCAATAATAAAAATTTTAGCTGGACTTAGGCCCATTCTGTTCTTAAATATTTTAGGCCCAAGTCCAGCTAAAATTTTTATTATTGAGAAATTCAGGATTTCAAGACCACCACCTTGTAGAGCATGGCTCAAAACCCAAAAATATTGAAAAAAGTCAATTTTCCAAAAATGTGACTTAGGCCCCTTCTGTTCTCATCCGGCGATATATATATACTTCAAAATTTAACATTTTGACGTCAGATCGTAGATATACCTGGCATATCAATCATCTTTTATTTCAATGGTATATCCATACCGTCACGCATTTTTAAATTCTCATTCAGTAATTATAAAAAAAATATAACTCCCTGGATAATAAGCGTGACCGCGATTTTAAACGAATACATCGAAAACTATGAATTATATATGAGATTACGTGAACGAATATGCACTCTGAAGTAATTAAAAATATTTTAGTGCAAGTCGAGGTCCATAAATACAAACGAGTACACTATTTTATATAATGGATATGCGCATTTCCGTAAAAAAAGTTTATTTTTTTCAACTATTTTTTTCCCAAAACCAATCCATAACTGTAAATCATTAAAACGTGTAATAAGTTGGTGCTACATAAAAAAATGTATATTTTAATCAACCTTTACAAGTAATTTATGTTACCTCCGCCTATCCCATTCGTATTAGTATCGCCAATAGCATATACCATTCTCACAGGTTGAATTCTTTTTAAATTTTCAATTCACAAGTATATTACATTACGATGCGTACTGTATCAACGACCATACTTAGAAATATATATTTCGCCATTTTTCTATCTCCATAATGATACAATACAGATTTTTGTGAAAATCGATTTTATGGTACATCTGATAGCCAATGTAAGTTATATGGCATCTCCGTTCCTGAGTCTAATTTAGTTATTTTCGATCCACCTAACTCGACACGCCTTTTAGTTAGTTAATGTTGGTCAAAAATTGATTTTTTTAGCGTGGTGCATTGACTAAAATAACTTACACATCGTTGGATTTGTGAGAGTTGTATAATGGACAGAGCGGTTACTTATAATGTAGGGCTCTCCTTCAGGTGCTTTTAGGTATAGGATGAGTCAGAATTGAAAAATAGCTTATATTTTTTTCATATAAAAGTACAGCTTAGAGTACTAAATAATATAAATGTATCAAGTGTACAACGGAATTACAGGTTTAGGGCTGGTTTATACCGGTATATACGAAGTTTTTTAATACACTAAGATTAAAATATATATTTAGAGATATAGCTTTAAGTATGAGAATGGGGAAAATTATTTACTGGCTGACTTTAATTTACGGTTGTTTAGATTCATTTTAACTGGTATGTTGGTAAAGTTTCACCTCAAAATTTTGTGGATTGTTTCCCGCAAATGATACCAACCCATTATCGGGAAATTTTCAAAAGTTCATAGATTGAAAATTACGATTATCTCAACCTGAAACAAAATGAATGAAAACAAGAGTTTAGAATTCTTTTTGTAATATTAATTATCATTGGTGAAAAAAATGTGATAATTCACAATTGATGTAACATATCCTCATTTCTGATAGTACTACTATTTATGTTCTAATTATCACGTAAACATATATACAAACTCCATTTGCAACTTAAAATTTACAATAAGCACCGGAAATTAATAACCTCATTTGTAACAAAAGGAGTTCAAGTTTTCTATATCACCAAATGACAACAAAATACAATTGCTCTGAAAATACGACCGTGGATCCATTCAAGCTCCACGCTAAGCTGGACAATGTTCGATTGTAAAATAGGTTATCGATTGATATATAGACTGCGCTTTGGCGTGTCGTCCGTTGGTAGGTGTAATCAGAAAGCCATAGGAATATTGTGAATTTATGTATTTCATATATAAGGTTTGAAGAATGATAGATGCAGTAGGTAGTGAATTATAATGGGATGCCATTCTAACATATATAAATGAATAGAAAAAGCCTCGTTCCATTAATTTTGGTGCAATTAGGGTAACAATTCACTTTTTATTGTGAGTCGAAACTACGATTTCTTGACAGCAAATATTGTGCAGAGTTGCGTAATTACTTGATTCAAAATATTTACTTTATTAGGGTGATTTTACGTAAACTAGACATTGTTGACGTACAGAGGGTAAACATTCACGTCACGTAAAGTGACGTTAGCCCAAAAGTTTCGTATTTACAAAATCAGCGGCATTCATTGTATTGGCTGAATGAATCAACAGTGCTGCCCCCTTACCCAAGTTGTATGACGTCATGCGATACTGTTTTGTTTCAGAGTAAAAGATCAACCATGTTTATTTGATTAATCGAGCGTCTTAATTTAGGTTTGACTATGGCTCATACTTGTTCTAAGATCTTCGACCGGGAATAATAAAGACAAGCCTATTTTGTATCTTCAAATCAACCCGTCTCTAATTTCAATCTAAGCGAAGTAATCCCTTGCGAAAACTACTCCTGTTATTTATTCGAAAAAATAAGCCGTCAGTTTGAATAAAACGATTCACATTGACGGAAAACAGCTAGATGTTGAGCCGCAAGAAGGTTGGTAAGGCGGTAGCCATAGTGGAAGGTAATAGAAGCAACACAGTATAAAGTGATCGAATTATAAAGAGAAGTTATATTCATTTGCTGATATCTGCAGCGTTTGGTAGGCAGTGCCTCGCAGAAATATTGTTTTGATTGAAAACGTGGCTGTTTTATGTCACCAAAGTGGAAATTTTGACAGTTAGGCAACATAAACAAGAAACACAATGAATAAAATTGTAGGGATATTAATAATTTTCAACGTCGATGGAAAAATCAAATCAGGCATTTGAATACAGTTAAATTTATATTTAGTCAATTCTTATATTGGGAACTATATCAAATAATGTTTGTTAATATAATTTAAATTGCCATTTTGTGCAATTGGAATCGTATGGGTAAGGATAGATAGGTATCACGTGCTTCTGATTACCCTAAAAAGTAATAGGAACAATGTTCTGTACTGATTTGGTTTCTGCGGGACTAACTACTTATCCTGCTTCTGTGCCGGTGGATCTGTATGTACATGTCGAGGCCAATTTGATATAAATAGACTTTTTTTTGTACAAATTTCAAAGTTTGACGTGATTCTCAAAAGAATATATTCAGTATTTCTGATTAAAATATCTAAACATTAGGAATGTATACGAAGTGTATTAAATTTTCGAAATCAATGGAAATTTTCGTATTGAGTTTAAACAAACTTGTAGAATTCTGCAATGACTAAAAACAGTTTATTTGCAATTAAATTTAAGAGACTCGAATATTTTTATCAAAATAACTGGATCGAAGTTTCTTACCTTGAATCATAAATTTTTCGTATATTCCATTAAAAAAGCAAAATAAAATCGATTTTGAGGCTGGTGATGCAATTTTGTGTCTATGAGTGAATCATTTTCGTACCATACTTATCCCATTAGCTTTTAAGTGCGATTTATCCCTCGCCCATCTGTGGCACATTATCGATCTAAGGATACATTTTTGCAAATTTTAGTTTTCTATTATCTTCGTGTTCCCTGTCTGATATCCGAGAAGGATGAATAACGTGTGGGTTAACCTTATTGTTACATTCTGTTTTCGGTATATTGTATTCCTATATAAAAACGGATTCGCGTCTAGAAAGGGTTTATCAAACTTTCCTTTTATATTGAAATTGGAGTATAAAGCTAACGTGCGATGAATAAAATTGTTTTCAAGTTATACTGAAAAACTTTCAAGTCTGTAACGGGGTGGTCTTATTTTATTATAGTTTGGTTTTCGGTGCAAATAACTGAATAATATTTTAAATCCGATTATGCAAAGTAACAATAAATTTATGTTAATTCTAAAAAAAACTCAAAATACCATTTTGAGTCAATATGGGAAAACGCGTGTGGCATTATTTCTTTGTATTCTACGTACAGTATTGAACTTTCTCCGTAGTTAGTTGAAAATTACTTGATAGGTGGGATACTGAGATACGCTTGAAATGATGAATTTTGTTATTAATAGGTGTAGTAATAATATAGGATCGTATGGTATATCTAGTTTTTTAACGTGATTAAGAAAAAAGGAATATGTTTTGCAAAATATTCAAAAGGTTTGTATAAATATTAATAGTGGAGTTAAATTGCATTGAATTGTTTCGGTATAGTTTTTTTTCATTACATCGGCATGTGTGATGGGAGAAAAACCAGAGAAAAAAACAGAAATATAGTTTATAGAAATTGGCCTACTGATTCCTCATTAGGCATTTATATTGATAATGTTTTCAGGTATATTGTTCTCATTTATAGATTTGATTCCCGTTCACGAACGAAGTCAGAATCTCCTTCTCATAAGAGTGTTGAATCTAAATCGTCAAGCAAATGTAAGTACAATATTTAATTTTTAGATTTTTTTTATTTGAAATCAACAAAAATTGAGTAGTGATCGTAGGAAATATTGAACCAAATTCATTTTCGTACCATGACACGTTAGTGATAAGGATCTTGATGTGGTCTACTTACAAAAGTGTAATTTTACCATACTGTTCCTTCAGCGTATAGGATATTAACATTTTTGGGTTCATCAGAACAGTCCTCTCGAAAATATCTTGTCAATACCCACAAGTTATTTTTGATCAGAGTTAGAGAACACCGACCAAAATCATAGTGGTGGAGATATCACAAAACAAAGAGGAATTTTCTTTCGTGAAAAGAAATTTGTATTAGGACAGTAAATTTGTTGTGATGTCGCTTATAAGGCGTTTTAATAGCTTTCAAATTGAACAAAATTTTATTTCGTTTATTTCTAGTTCGAGATGAAAAACTCGGACCTCTGGCAAAACTCAAGAAGAAAATGTGGAAAGCTGATGTCGAAGTTGGAAATCATTATTCCAGTACTGAAGAATTAGTCGGACTGGGACGAAAAGTTTCGACCAAACAAACATCAGAAGTAACTGAAATGGACAAAAATGGTTAGTTTCTGTAGCTAATTTCTTTATTTGAGCATATTAGATTACCTGAGCGAAGATATTGCGAAGACTATATAATGAATATACTACAATAAGCTGCTATATGAGTCATTCTGTGCTTTTGATTTTTTTAACGTTTTTAATTTTAAAAAATGTGTTACGTCAATTTTGTCGAAAGGGTCTAATATGATCAAAAATCATCAGAAAATAATTTCAAATCGTGGGTTAATACACGGACATTTCTAATTTATTTACCTGCTACTAGAGAACCTGAAAATTGTTATTGACCAATTTATATGGAAATCCACTTTCGTGTAATAAATTGAATCAATTATATTTATAATAATAACAACTAATCCAGATAAACCATAATCAATAACACGCAAAAGCGCCAATAATCAATATTATCTATTTTATCCTTTGTTACAGGTCAAACATTGATTCGGAAGATCAGTCGTGCTTCAGATGGCAAATTCCATGTTGCTGACAAATGTAAAGCACCTTCAAACCAAGCTATTGACGCGGAGGAGTCAGAATTATTGATGCCACAACCACAAGTGCCACACAAGGCCGGGGTGATATCTCCTTCACGTAGTTCTGAACTTTCTCACAGTGTGGAATGGGATCCAAGATCACCGCTATTACAACACACACCCAGAGAAACTCCGGTCCCAGAAAATGGAAGCGAATCGCTTGAAATCGATTGTAGTCATAGTGATATCGAAGTTCGTTACGTCAAAGATGGGCGTGGCAGAGTGCGCTGTCAATCAACTTCAATGTCAAGTCTATCGGGGCCGAGGCAATATAACACACATGGTCGACAAGTAATACCATATGAACCACACTTGGACTCAAGTTATGCATCCAGTGCTGAATATCATCAATCACCTGCTCCCTATACAAGGCAAAGTATGGTGTCCCCAGCGCCCCACATGCCCCCATACGCGCAATATGTTCACTTGCGACCCGACAACAGAAAAATGCACCCAGAATATAGGGTATCGTCACCACCCCGTTTGACTGATTATAATCCCACCCCCGCGAGTCCGCCAAAATATCGTTATCACAAGCATTCCGATCAGCCCGGTGGCCATTATCACGTTTCGCCGAGAGACAGCTACACTAATCCCTCTGAAAGACTGGTTTTTGACCCCAGGTACACTCGCATAGAACCGATTTATGAAGTAGGACCGCACCCAAATATTCCTCCAAATCGCCATTCATCTTTTGTTATTGATACCAGGCGGGAGCTGCCACACCATTCACAGCCCCATCGGGCAATACAAATTTACAGAACTACCGGAGCACCTAAGGATGGTGTGAATTATCCCAAACCATTGTGGCACGACCAGAGCGCTTCACGTTACCATACTTTACCGCACCAGCCCCAAATGGTGCAAATGTCTCATGCCGGCGCGCCACGCCACCACAGTGACTTGGACAACGTGGAGGCGTCACTTATACGTCATAATGCCAATGCCGCGCCATATTCAACAACAGCAGGCGATATTAGAGGGCCGCCGAGTACAACAAACACAAACAGTCTGGGACGATCGCGGCGAAAAAGCCACGAAAAAGAGACCGATAGTCCGCGCAGAAGAGTATGTTCCGTGGACGATTTAACACGGGAAAATCCACTTCCCGCCAACACAGCACACGTGACCGAAAGATCGGAATCACTCGATCTGCTTTCTTCACGACAAACAAAGATGTCGAACAGCAACACGCCTCCGACATCACAACCCGACAAGGTAAGACATATTGTTTTTTATCAAAGCGGTATAAAGGTTTGTTTTCTTACTTGGGCAGCATATATTAATAATATCTTTCTTTGTCAGGACAGGACGCGGGATGGGTCTGATAGTGGAGACCACGGAAGTGATGTCACCACCACGTCGTCTTCCACGAACTCTGAAAAACTTCCGCGTGGTGTGTTGACGTCGCGACACTCAGATTTACGCGAGGAAAATACGCTTCCAGAACAACAAGGTAATTTCAAGTACTATTCATTTACCTAAATGTCCTTGAAGGTATTTCCTTGGAGATCCGCGATTTTTTTTTTTTGAGCAGCAACATATTGCTTCAAATACTTTACACATAAAATACTTCTTTTTCAGTCGACGTTACCAAAGTTGTCATCACGAATCCAACGTCTCCAGTCCGAGAAGATGATTCTTCTGCGGTTTCATCTTTACCGCCCCCTACCGAACCTGTGATACACAACGGTCGGCAGCTGGAGGTCACAAGCAGTGGGTACGATAGTCATAACACGAGTCACGCATCTGACTCTCCCGCCCCGTCGTGTTCGTCACCTAACGTCATCACCAATCGAACGTCATCATGTCATGATAGAACTAGCACAGCGTCATCAAGTGATAGGTAGTTTGTTGGTTTATAGATTCTTTTTGGTGTGTTTAATACTTTCTCTTTTAGTAGAATGATAACGTAGTATATACTATTTTGTGTTGAATGTTATATGTTTTCTATTTTTTCTGCCTATTTGTCCACCATTAAGTAGTTAACTACAATTCAGTAATGTATATATTTTCAAAATGAGGATTAATTATTATTAAATGTCTTCAGTTACAATTTTGTTAGCAATCGGCCCAACAGGGTAACATTTTTATATAAGTTTATTCACTATCACTCTAACCAAGGTTCTGTGTAAGCATACAGTTTGGACGATTATGGACTAAATATTTTTATTTTTTCAGATCGCGAAAAGACACCTCGTCCGTAGATGAGAAATATGAGTGGGATTCTGAATTTGCGATGGAAAGTGAGATCTTAGAAGCGTTGAGGCACTTTGGAACACACAAACGTACGGGGTCGGTTTCACAGGTAATGTTTTGTTATTTACAATACAACTTTATGGGAAAATCCTTTATGTGCATACTCGCCGAAGTCGGATGTTATCGGTCCATTTTTCGGGGTGAAAAAGCTGTCTTAAAATTTTATTTTCTGCGGTTGCGAAAAAGATTACCTGACTTAAAAGTGTTAGTTAATTTTGAACTTTCAAGCTATAATATTTAAACATAATCAAGTCAAGGATCTACAATTTTTCTTAAATATATCATATCTTAATATTACACTATTCTCGTATTTATCACAGGCTTTAGTGGACGAAATTCAAAAGTTGGGAATGGATAGCGTTCAAGAACTAGGAAAAGACGATTTAGCAAATCTTGAAAAGACAATTTTGGATCATCGTGATAATTTAGTACAATCACCTTCGGTGGATACAAGTGATATGTATACTAAAGAAAGCATGGAAAGGAGGTAAACTCGACGATTTCTTATTCGTGTTCATCATGTTTACAGATTTTTAATAGAGTTGAACGGCCGCTCGTTGGAACTTGGAATATAGCATAATCAAAACTAGGAAAACCATTTGGGCTCATATTGTTTGTATTTAAAAATAGTTCCAATAAATCCAAAGGAAATTTTTGTAGGCCAGATTAAATTAAATTATGGGTAGGTATATATAATAAATAATTTAGTGCATAGGTTTAAAAGTGTGAACACTGATATATTAATGTATGTGGTGTGTGTATATTCAAAAACACATACCAATGTATCTTTGTATATTTGGTGTAAAATCCCGGTACAGTTAATCTATAACTAATTTTGTTGTTTGCATATAATATATTTGTATATATTTTGTAGATGTGCGGCGTTGAAAAAAGAATATCAAAAATATCAGCTTGAGCAGGTTTCATTAGGCAAGAAGAATCCAACGTCACCGGATAAATCAAGCCCAGCTATATTTGCTACTGCTCCTACCAATACCTAACGCAATTATGTCTCACTTCCACTGTGCTTTCTTACTATTATTATTATAATTCATTAAAATCATTTTCACTATTTCAACGAAAAAATAAATTTTTGTTCCATATTTGATTTGTGTATTATTTGATAAATTAATTTGGGAGAGCAATGCAAGTGGGGGTTTAGTTACAATATATATGCAAACAGTCATTCATTATTTCATCAGAGAATAACTTTTATCACGCTTGCTGCACAAGTATTGTGCACTTTCAATAAACTCTAATTAGGGATAATTATTGTTTTAACCAACAACAAATAGTGGTAAGAATATCTCATACATTCGTAACTTTACTGAAGAACATTTCGAGGGCTATGACCCATAGACGTTCCTGTCAATGAGAGGGTAATGCTTTCTCCGCCACACATGGAGTTGTAATCGGACGTGAGGCCGGGTTTCGTCGTATGATTGGGCCGTCTCGTCGACTTTTCTCTTTCCGCGAATAATATGTAAATCCTATCCTATCACTAGTTTTTTACAACAGTCTTCAGACACCAGCATATGACAATCATTCGATCGACTTTGTGTTTCTAGCCACACGTTTCCGTCAGGCTATGAAAGAAAAATACACCTCAAACTAGTTCGCCTATTCTTGTTCGTTCACTGGCGACTAATGATCAAACGCAAATTTTTCTGTTTATTAGGACCCCTTTGTCAACAACAAACATGACAAATACGGGCTTGTGTCTTTAGTCAGCAAATCAGCGATGCGAAATCCATGCGTCTATAACGATCAATTGACTAACTATTTTCAGACTCAAATTATCTCGGTAACCAAACCGGACAGGCCGATTAGATAATTTAGAGTTTTAGACGTCCTGTCGGCTTTTTTATCACCTGTATATATATGTAAATTCCCTTTCCTCATATTGCACATTTACAGACCGATAGAGTAAATAGTAAATAGCACAGATTCAGATTTTATTTTCGTCATGCAAAACCAATATACGATATGAAAAAATAAAAAAAGACATATAACAAATTACGAAGACAGATATCGGCTTGTTGCAATAGACGAGGGATCGCGAAAGACTCAAAGAGTCATCCAGTCAGCGACACCTTGTAGCTGCATTGAAGCAGCAAATATAGCAACCGAACAACTCAATATTAAATAGTCACTAAATTCGACACAATCATATATATAAAAGGGACAACAAAAAGAATGCCACAATGACCACGAAAAGTTACCTAAACATTCACTTAATTAGCCTCAATCACAAAAAGGAACAACAAAGTTTGAAAAATAAAATACAGGATGTCATAATAACTATGGAGTATTAGATATTTACCTAATTAAACTCGATCATACAGAGTAAGAACAAAATAAAATCGAAATAAACACCGAGATACTACAATGATCACATCGTATTATATGACTTAACAGCGACATCTGTAAGAAGGATATGCCTCAATGACAACAAAGAATTGCGAAATAATGCTGACTAAGCATACATAGTAAACCAATATGGCGTGCCCAGCAACGGGCTTCTGGCTGCGAGAATCAATACCGTATTTAACGGATTTTTATGTTGGAAGCGATTGTTAGTGGCTATTAGAGTAGTGCAGAATAATTATGGGTTCTGCAGTATTCGTGGCATATAGGTTGGGCGGAAAATATTAAAACAACAACAGTACACAGCGAGCACACAACTTGACGAACATGGATGGGAAAAGCAGCACCACAGGGATAGGTACGGTACACTGATTGTTGACTGACAATCTTCAATACATGGTCAAGTTAAGCAACGAAGATTTGACGCTAGGTTCATGAAAGAGTGCATTTGTGAACGATCACCACGTTTGTGAAAAATTTTCTCAAACTCTTATCAGTAAACTATAAGGAAACGATTTGTTTCAATACTTGGTATCAACATATTGCGTGCAAAATTCATGCACTATCGCTTCCCTAGAAATTCGCTACAGCGAATACGCTTGATTTTCTTTTTCTGCGACGCGCTTTCTCCGTTCCAGCGCGTGCGCTTCGTATTCATTACTGTTTTTGCTTGTCTGCGCGATTGTCGCAAATTTTCTTGCTGCCGAATACCTTTGTTTGGCTTGAACTTTCGTAATAATGTCGATCGGAGTTCCTATTAAAGTCCTTCACGAGGCGGAAGGCCACATTATCACATGTGAAACAGCATCAGGTGAAATATATCGTGGAAAACTCATCGAAGCTGAAGACAATATGAATAGTCAAATGAGTGATGTAACAGTGACCTACAGAGATGGAAGAACGGCTCAACTTCAAAATATTTACGTCCGTGGAAGCCAGGTCAGGTTTATGATTTTGCCTGACATGTTGAAGAATGCTCCCATGTTGAAACAGCAACGTGGTGGTAGTGCTGGTAGAGGAAAAGCTGCTATTTTGAAAGCCCAAGTGCGGGGCAGAGGAAGAGGTGGTTTTAGTCGAGGAGGCGGAGGGGGATTCAGAGGCCGCGGTGGATTTGATTCTGCAAGCTTCAGAGGTCGTCATTAGGATTATGAATGGACCAGTCACTTTGAAATCATTGGATCCTACTTCAGTACTTGTTCAACAAGTGACTTTTGAACTTAAACATCGACACATGTCTCTCACTACTGCAGTTCATAATTTTTTATCTGGACTGTTCTGAATGAAACAAACATTAGCATGTTTGGGAATTCTTGCTGAATTTAAGCCTTTTTCTGGCTTTTCCAAACCTTAATTTCGTAAACATATTACGGTACTTTTCTCATCCGTGACATCCTGGTCTAACTATACAGCTATAGATCAGTTTTCCTAAAAACAATGATCAATCATGGATACCTTTAAACTACTGTTAATTGGTGATTACTCTCTTACATACTGAAAATGAGGTGAAATTTATCATATGCCTGAGGTGCAATTTGTAAATCTAGTTCATGCTTTGTGAACATCCTATGCGACTGCTGGTTATCACAGTAGACAATTGTTTTAAAAGTGTTCTTTTGGCAAATATTCGATCGTACATCAATTTTGTATCTAGTCTATGTACCTTGCTAGTCTGGCTGTAGAATATTTCAGCCACTGTTGCTTGTCTGATTTTTAATGGCAACATTGATCACTATACTTTACATTCTTGAATTGATAGCATGTAATTAGCAACGCAAGCTATTCAATACATAGTTTTTAGTCCGCGTGGTCAAATTTGAATTGTTTCTACTGTTGGTTTGACTTCATGGACTAATTGTAATATTGCGTATAATTTTTTATGTACAAATCTGGCCTACAGGTTGTAAAAAAAGATTTGTGATTTATCCACAGTGAACAATAGCCTGTTTAAAGCTACGCTGCCCTTGACTGGTTGCAGCTTAGCAATGTTTCATTCACTTCAAATTTGTTTATTATGATATTGGAAAGTATTTTTGAGTATGGGATAGATTGGCATATTGAATATTTATATCATGAATCGAATCCATTTTATCATCCTAGTCTCTTCATCCATTTTTACACTTTTGCTGCTCTGATTATATTTCTGTTTTTACACATTTTTTTTGAGATATTGTTATTTGTAAAGAAAGGCGTTGTGTGTTGGGTGTTCTAAATTTATGGTTAAGATTTTGTAGCCAATGAAGTTCATACTGAATATGGTGATATGTGTTTTTGAAGCATAGTGAATTTCATTACGGTTAAGAGTCGCAAGACCCACCGACTGAAGCAATATGTAAAACCGGGGCATTTTTTCGTAGCTTGAAACCCACGTTTTCCGGCCCCTGTTCAGACGCCCTAGCTGCTACTGTCCAACTTGGCAATTATAAATCTCAGCCCCCACCTCTCTTTGAAAATTTCTGGCTACGCCCCTGATGTACAATTCAAGTGAAAAGACTTATTGGTCCTAGGATATGGTTAACATGATTTTGACAAATTCATGATTTTATATTGTTTTTTTTGTGCTTGATTGATATGATGCAGATTTTGGGAGAGAACAATTGAATCATGATCGTCCACACATTCAGGTTCAGAAAAAGAGAAAAAATTTCCAGCGTCGTCTCGATGATTGCACAAAACGTAAACGTCCATTTCGACGGCCAGCATACATAAATGGGACCTCCTGAAGTATGTGCACCAAGGTGGCGTACAACCTGAACATAGTATGTGTACCAGGTTAGGGTTCAGGTTATGCGACATCTTGGTGCACATACTTCAGGAGCACCCATAAATGTAATATGTTTTAACGAGACTAAGAAGAAATACGCCTAATCAGCACAAAGTCGTATTACCAAAAACCAATCGTATTTGGATTCTAAGAAGATAAAGATCTGATCGTCCGGCTTTGATGGATAGTCTTGAAATTTAGGGTTGCTCCAAAACACAAAAAGAAGTTGTATTTCATATTGTTTTCTGCACTGTGTTAATTTCTTCGGTCGTGAGCTTGCTATATTTTCACTAACATTGGAATGGACGATATCGTAACTTTATTCGACGATATCGCAAAACTGAATTCGTCAACTGCTTTCGGCCTTGGTAAAATAATGAACCATGGTTTTACAAATGTTTACCAGAAACTGTTGCCAGTGATGTAAATCTTCATTTCCGTGAAGATCATAGTTTCGTTACTATTTTACCGTTATTAGCAAATAGTTCAAATCCGATTACTCAAATATTACAGCGTACCTCAAATCACTTATCTGAGATGAGATCGTTCGACTGTCGGCGCATGTTGGCCGTGATAACTTCCGGATAATTTGGTCATATAAAAAACGTTATGTGTCAGATTTTTAAATAGATAAACCATTGACAGCCAAACCTAAGGTTTTATCCATCAGTCTTTATATCACCTATACTTTATCATTGCAAAATATTCAACGCTGATTTTGAGAATGTTTTGAAGAGTTGGCGCTTACAAACTCACTTGTTCAAAACTATCATTCTTATTTAAAACAATAAACCACGTGCCACTCACAGGCACCGATAGGTAATTTAAGTTTGCGGTATCTATTTTCGATTATCGCAACTAAACGTTCTCGGACGACATAATGACAATTAAGTTATTTGATTTACAATCAATTTTCGGAAGCACCAAAGCCTATATATACCTAAGCACAACTAAAAACTGACAAATAACATGCAAAACTAAAAAAAGTGGCAATGGCCACGACCGTAAGGCGTAGCTATATACTACCACACTTGACTGAGCGAAAGAAGTGTCTGGGTGGCGGCTTAAATTGCAATTGTTACGTCATTGTTAACTTTTTGCCGTTTGTAATTGTTACGGAACAAGGAAATCTATACTAGGAGAAACATCCATCTCAAAAGAAATATAGAAACTGCTAATGAAAGGCCTGATGTTTTGTTGTGCCAGAAGATATTTAACCCGTTCAAATTGATAATGTGCAATTGTGTAACTGAATTCAAAGCGAGTTGTATATTAACGAAGCGAGTTGTATTTATAACCCATGAGAGTTACTAATAGTTTCATATTCAGAAAATGTTGTCATCGACAAAATCTAGCATCACTTGTTTTTTAACGATATTAAAACAAACATTGTTCGTCTTGAGTTTCTTCCTTCAAAATTTTTTTTAACCGTTCCAATAAATTAGCGGCTAATTATTAGTCGATATCACGAAGATTCACTTTGGTCAGCAAAATATCTATGCTCTATGCCAGCGTTTCCCAAACTTTTTCGGCCACGGAACACTTAGACTTTTTATCTCACCTCACGGAACACCAAAAAATGGAAAGCTAAAATTGATAAAGAAAAACGGTGTAATGTAGCGGTTCCCAATGGGTTCGCCGTGACGAGTTGCCAAATGCGCCGCGAAAACTAACAGAATTGTGTTAAACCGTAAATATAGAGGACTTGCACGGGTCACGTGACTTCGTTACTGGACGGCAATAAAAACAAAAACGTCCATTTGGCTTCTGTCAGTTGCAAGTCGGATTATACTTTTCCGTTTTGTTTGGCTGTTGAAAATGGTTATTTCGTATTGTTCTGTTGGCTGTACGTATAGTATAGACAACGAAATGGATCTTCAGTTATATTCCACCTGTTTTCAAAAGATCCGGAACGTCGTGCAATGTGGATATCATCTATTGGCAGGACTGCTTGGTGTTGGTGTCAAGTCCAGAAGTCATCTCGCTTGTGTTTCACTGTTTGCGGACAGCACTTCGTTGATGGTGAGTGATAATGTGCCGTTATCAATTTTTTTAAATATCCATAAGCTCCCTCATTTCAATGGAAAGCAGATGACAGACTACTGTTATTGGTAGGCCTAGGCCTACTTGCAGACTTGACTTGTGTAAGGAATTTAATCATCAATTGCCATAATGTATTGTTTCCCTAGTTACTAGTTAGCAGGTAATCTATTACTGAGAGTGGAAGGTTGAGGTTGAATAGATAACTAAAGTTTAACACCAGTGGTCATGCAAAAAATAACCAGAATTCAATTGAATTCGCCATCTAGGAATACGCTCGCCACCGCATCTCTGATCACCCTGGTAGTTTCACAGGTTCCAATCCCATGAGGGGATAGTTATGTGCGAGAGAATTGCAGCTCTCCTCCTTGCAGTTCACACGACCGCTGATCGGTTACGACCATCCCCCACCATCCAAGTCCATGCTTCTGAGAACAAATAACTGACTAACTAATCCCAACATAGACTGGTAATCGTACGAGAGACTGTGATTCGTCATATGATTTAGTTGTTGCACCTGCAATCCTAAAGGTGCTTGTACAACTGTCCCAAAATGTCTTTTTATTGTCATTGGTAAAAAAAGATATGCTAGCCGGAATCAAATTCATTTACGACTAGTGTTTGTGGTGGGATATGGACATAAATTTCACACCACTTGATTGTTAAATTTTACGAAAACTCTACAAATATTACAAAGCTAGTGCAGGATCATGATATCAAATGAATCTGTATCCTTTATCTTACAGATATGGGTGTGACCATGGAATAGATGGATGGCAAAGTATAAGTTGCAACAAGACCACAGTGGCACAAGACCTCAGCATCCATTTATTGGTGCTTAACGTAATGACAAAGTAACTTGTGATTACTGTGGATTGGTGGAAATAAAGTGTCCATTGTGCTTGAACGAAAGCAACTTCAATACGACCCTATCAAGAAAATTTTTTTGTTTCGGTGGGGTTGGTAGTGAAGGTTTCAGTCTAAAGTTGGACACCGATACTACAACCAAATACAGTTGCCAATGAAACTTAGCGAGGCGTAATATTGCGACTTTGTGATCTGAAAGAAAATTCTGATGGGTAGCCGGCTAGCCACAACCTTTTGTTTAAAGAATATTATGAGATACGACTTAAGAGTCTAAACTTTTATTCGAGAGGGGTGTAACCCAAGCTAATGCAAATGGTATTCATGGTACCAAATGTATCACACACTTTACAGTAATTATAAATTATATTTGAAAATAAAGCACATCAAAAAATGTATTTTTAAAAAACAATTGGTTTTATCTGCAGATACTAGGTTGATATTGAGATTGACCATTTCAATGCTAAATTTTCTTTAGTCAAAAGGCACACTCGATTCGCAAAGATTTGTGAATGCGCACAGTACACCAATTTGTCTAATGTTTTGATTCCATAGGCAGGAGGTTGTGGATCGGTGCTGCTCAGGATGGGATATTTTTGCCTATAAATGCATATTACGTGTTTCACATGAATCTATCGTGCTCAGATTCGACTGTTTTCAAGGTCTGAAGGCTCCAACAGCCTAAATTTATCGGTACACAAGAGAATTTTCAGTGTGGTATGCATGGGTCAGTTGGAGTCACTGACCTCAAGATATCTATAAGCAAGGATAAGATAACCTGGAAGTAACATTCCATAATTTAGAGTAAAAAATGTATCTGCCTCCACAGCCCTTTCAATTGGAAGATATGATGCCTCGGGGGTAATTTCTATCAAATATTTTACAGTATTATGGTTCTAGTGAAAAGGGGTGTACGCGGCTTTTTTAAAAGTGTGGTAAGTCTAGTCGAAAGACACATTAAATGTTTATGCTAACAACTGCAAAGTAATATTGCAACGCATACAAATTAACAGAATTTGTTGAAATGGTCCTGCCTTTTGCCTTTCTTCAAAATCGCCCTTTTACCACCTATTCTCTTCCTCTCTGGAGATGGCGAAAATTCAAATATCGATGGGACATATAAGCAGCTGATAATGGGTTATCTTCCCTTTTTCCTGAAAATAAATTAAACACTAATCATCATTTGACAGTGCCAAGTTTAGTAATAAATTACCTGCTAACTAATAAAACAGTCAGACAACACCTTCTGACCATTAATGAAGATTTCTTTCAATTTAAAACGCAACTATGCCTACCAATGGGAGTAGTTTTTAGGATAGAATTTATCTGTGGTTAGGGACAGATTGCAAGGTGCAACATGGTACGATTACCATTCTACGCGGGATTAGTTAGCCAGTTATTTGTTTTAGAAGCATGGACTTGATGGTGGGGGATGTCGTAATCGACCAGCGGTCGTGTGAATCATCCTCAGTGGGAGGAGAGCTGCAATCCCCTCGCACATAACTATCCCCGCATGGGATTGAAACCTGTGAAACTCCCAGGGGGATCAGAGATGCGGTGGCGAGCGTATTCTTAGATGGAGAATTCAAACTCTAGTTATCCATTCAACTTTTCACACTTACTAATAGATTACCTGCTAACTAGAGAAACAATACCTTATTGCAATTATTGATTACGGTAATACCTTACACGAGTCAAGTCTGCAAGTAGGCCTACCAATAACAGTAGTTTGTAGGCTTGCACGTAATTTACTGATTTACGTAATTACGTAATTATTTGGAGTTACGGAAGGGAAGTTACGAATTACGTAAAGTCGTAATTATTGCATTGAAACGAGGTTTCCCTGAACTTAACCGTAGATAAGGGATT